GAGGCCCTGGGTTCGATTCCTCAGCACCACATAAGCAAAATGAAAAAAGCCGGAAGTGGCGCTGTGGCTCGAGTGGTAGAGCACTAGCCTTGAGCTGAAGAGCTGAGGGACAGCACCCAGGCCCAGAGTTCAGGCCCCACGACCGGACCCCCCCAAAAAAAAAAAGAAAATAACAAATGTGGGTGAGCATCGTGGGAAGAAAGAACCAATATCAGTATTTATGGGAAGGTAAATTACTATAGGCACTATAGACATTAGAAAGGAGATTCCTTAAAGGACTAAAAACAGAACTACCATCTGATCCTGCTGAGCCATTCCTGGCCTTGAGCTTGCCAGACAAGTACTCCACCACTTGAGCTGGGTTTGGCAAGTGAAACATCTATAAAGATTCAGTTCCACTGCAGGAATATCATGTAAACATACAATGATGGCTTTTATTAACGGAGGCTGGAATTCTGGCTGCTGGGTAGCTGTTTGTCCACAGAGAGTCAGGTGAAAAGTTAGGGTTTCGTGGAAAATAAACAAGTACACACATACGTGCACACTGAAGAGAGGAAAGTGAAACTGCTTGGCATGAAAGATGAAGAGCAAACATCCGTGACAGTTGCTTTGTGTGTCTCAGGAGAAAAATGAAGTGGAAACTGAGGCTGTTAAGAAATGTTTGGTTTTGGTTTTTTTTTTTAATAATGTAATAATAGAAGGCTTAAAAAGTGTTGGGGGAAGGAAGGGACCTATAATTTCAGAGTCTGCAGACTTAGGCGAAAGGATCACAAGTTAGAAACCATCCTGGGAAGTAGAGATCCTGCCTCAAAAGCAAAATAAAAACAAAAGGTGGGGACATAGCTCAAATAGTAGGATGTTTGTTCTTTCAGCAAGCCCAGAGCCCCGAGTTCAGTCTCTACTGATGAAAAAAAGAAGTCAAAGACTTTGGCCAACTGGAGGGCCTGCTGCTTCTACAAGCAAGGCAGGCAGGCAGGCAGGTGGGCAGGCGGGCGGGCAGGCAGGGAGGGAGGGAGGCAGGCAGGCCCACTGGGGAGCAGGATTTTATCAACATAAGTCTAAAATTTGACCTACAGTAGATATGTTCAGTTTTTTTTAACACAAAGGAATACATTTTAGAATTCCAACATTTCTTAGAGACTAATGAATCCAAACTTCATATTTTATAAAGGTGAAGACAGGCTAAGAAACAAGGATTGACTCAATGCTCAGCAGTTATGGACATACATAAGAGACTCACAGATACCATTATACCTCATCTTACAACTAAGAAGACTTCATTCTCTGAAGGGTTGAATGGGTTGCTTAAAGATACCAGCTGGATGCTGATGGCTCATACCTCTAATCCTAAATACTCAGGAGTCTAAGATCTGAGGATCTTAGATCGAAGCCAGCCCTGCAGGAAAGTCTGTGAGACTATTATCTCCAATAAAAACTACCAAAAAGCCAGAAGTAGAGCAATAGTTCAAGGCCCTGAGTTCAAGTGCTATTACCAGCACAAAAATAGATAGATAGGTAGATAGACAGATAGATAGATAGATACACAGTGAGCTGGTACCAGAGCCAGGACATAAAGCCAAGTGGTTTTTCTAGAGGCTATATTTCCTGCAGAAATTTCTAATACCTCAGTTTCCTCAGATGGCACCCGAATGTTAGCTGCTGCACATTCTGGATAGCTGCTTTCTCTGGTCCCTGGTCGATCTTGTATTAAGATGTGATCCTTCCTATTTCTTTAAGGAACATACAAATTTCTGGTCTACTCTCCTAGACCAGAAGTCATCTTGGTGTAAAATGCACAAGTAGTAGCTGACATGGGGGGAAGGACAAATGAATTGATAGACAACGAATAGTATGTCAAAGAATAATTGCCAGGCACCAGGGAAATGCACATTTGGATGAGCAAACTAAAAAACACAACCCACAACAAATGTGTATGAGGATATGGAGAAAGCCTCATCGACTGCTGGTATAAATATGAAACCACTCTGTACTTTGGTCCTCAAAAGGTTAACCTGGAAATTCATATTTAGAATATATACCGGAGAAACATCCACACTAAAAATCTGTACAAAAATTTCCTAACAGTATTATTCATAAAAACCCCCAAGTGGAGATAACCTAAATATCTATCAGTTGATTAATGAATAAAATGTAACACATCCAGACAATGGAACATTATTTGGCAGTTAAAAAGAATTGGTGATGACACATGCTACAGCCTCAATAGACTTTGTATGATTCTACTCAGATGAGCGGAATCTTCCTTCTATTTAAAGATGGAAGATTCCAGAATGCCTATCTATGACTGAGTGCGGGGTGAATAGTGAGGAGTAACTGCTACTGGCACAAGTTTTTTCCAGAATTAGCAAGATTTAACTCAGGATACTGAAGCACTCTGACTGTGTACCTTAAGTAAGTGAATTGCAGAGTATGAAAATTATACACTAATGAAACTGTTATGCTGAGCAAAGCAAAGTCAGTCCTTGCAAATTACTAGTCTATCACTGGTGAATCTGCATCATTGAGAATGAAAAACCATAGTTTTAGAAGGAGCAGAAACTGCAGAATCACTCATGCAGAATAAAAGATTAAAAACCAGAAGGAAAGGGGTGGATCAGAGGTAGAATACTATCTAGCATAGGTGAGGACCTGGATTAGAGTTCCAGATTTCCAGAAGTAAGGTGGGTGCAGAATCATTTCAGTGTCAGGATACTGAGTGTGCATGTGCCCTGTCCTCCTACCCCCCCACCCCCCCCTCACCCCGCCCCACAATAAGATCTCTGCATCACTCAAAACCTAGCCCCTTCTCACTGGGACACCACCTGTTCCCAAGGCACTGTCTAGATGGGAGAAAAGATGCCATGTCAGCCTTGGCATGACCCCAAAGATCTTCTTGGAAACTCAATTTAAAATTCATAACTACAGGATCCCTGGTAGATCAGATTCCAAAGGCACAGAACAAGAAGAGTGGAGAGCAGCTCACATGTACTTTCCTGATGTGAAGAATGTAGACTCATGTTTTAACTACAAAAAGTAAAGCCTTCAAGTTCTGGAACAAGTGTAAGACATTGACAGAATAGTACTGGCCCTGCCTGTGATTCAGGAAGAAGAATTTCAGAGTCAGTGACCGGTTTGCCACACCCCCATCCACATATGTCCTTCATGATGAGCAGTTCAAGGCAGTCTTTGACTAATATGGGGAAATGTTTAAAACAACAACAACAGTGTTTTCTAGCTATTAATAGGTACGGCGTTAACATACTTTTGGAGTCAAAGACCTATTGGATATTAGGCAATTTCCCTTACATATTTTTGGCCTTTAACTCTTATTAAACCTTGTACTCTCGCAATGTCTTCATGGAGCATCATCTTTGTGGAAAAATCAGCTTTGCTTTCTTTAAAAACAGGCAAGCCCCCAAATGATCCAAGCTGCTAGCAGTTCTGGAAAACTTCTTTTACACAGTGGTAAGCAATGCCTCTTAGTTCATGAGCAAAGAAGCTAAACTGAAGACCTCTTGCTTAAAGAATTCCGCAGTCAGCGAACCACCTTGGAGTTTCTGAATCCATGAAAAACTGCACAGCTCCCTCCCCATCCTCTGACTCCAGTTTTTCTATATGAAAGGTTAATGTAAAGATACTTTACACCACTTACTGCCCGCACTACGTCTCCATAGCGCACATTAGGGGATATCAAGTTCAACCAGTGTGTCTCCTACTCAAGATCAGAATACAGTATTTTCCCCTAGAAAAGTGTTGGGCTCCAGGAAACAGGTCAAATACTTCTAAAGTACTGCCCTCTAACTTTTTAAAGACTGCCACCTGCCTCTTCCCTTCATGAGTGAACACGCAGCACTCTTTGGGCCTGCGTTTTCTCAGCCTCAAACAATTTTCCTCCTTACCTGTTTGTGTTAGGGTTAAGGAGATCCTGGACCAGAACAGCTGGTGTTGCTTCCTAGAGGCAAATCCATTGACTATTTCCCTAACAAGCGGATGAACCCTCTTACAATGGAAACCTGTCTCCTAGGAGAACATTGCCAAAGCGTAGGGCTCTATGTCAGTAACCTGTTTGTTATGTTCTGGCTTTGTAAGTAAAGTCATCTCAGGAACTTGGGAGCCCAGGCACCCCACATTTCTCCAGGACTCAAGGAGCCTCGGCTGCGGCTGCGAGCTCTGTCAGCTCTGGCTGACAAACCTGGAGGATCACAGCTTGGAGGCTGCTGTTGTTTCTGCCCCGGGGACCCTGCTCCTGTGCCGCACGGAGAGCTACCCTCTGGGGTGCGGCAGTGGATCTCTAGTCTTTGCACTTGAGATCCCTGAGGGCAGAGAAACCACTCATCCTGGCCAGAAAGAAGACAACCATACAGAGCACAGTCAGACCCTCTCCCGCCGGGCACGGATAAAGCGCGCGCTGGAAGAGAGTGGTGTGGAGTTTGGAGGCCCGGGCACCGGGGGTTGGCAGCCTGCCGGCCGGCTCCGTGAAAACCCCCCGTGGAGCACCCCGCTTTTCATGTTATTAATGACGTCCGTTAACCCTGCAGGAGTGGGAGGGGGGGGGGATGGCATGGGAACGTGGACTGGCAGGTAACCTGTTAGCAGGGGACCCTCCCCCGAGTCCGGATACCCAGACAGAGAGGCCCGAGTCAGGGGGTTGGGAACGCGGGAGGGGCGCGTGCGCACGCGCGGGGAGCTAAGTCATCGGATCTCCCCGTCCCAAGCAGGTGCCGGAGCAAGACAGAGGGAGGGGGATGGGGGAGGGCCCTGCCTGTACCTCGGGAGGGGGGGGTCCCCAGCCCGGTGACTCCGGTCCTCTTCTTCCCCCCACCTCCGCGCTCACCCCCAGCCACAAGGAGATGCCAAGCAAAACTTAGTTGGGTCGGAGTACCCAGACCCGCGGAGGCGCAGCACCCAGCCCAGGGGACTCGGTGGGGGCGGGGAGGGGGGAGCTCGCGCGCCCGGGGCCCCGCCGGACACCCCCCCTGCCCGCCCCGCGCGCGGCTCACCTGCGTGGGGCATGGTGATGGTGTCGTTGGCGCTGGAGCCCACGTTGAAGATGACCACGGCCGAGGCGTTCTGCAGGAAGGCGGTGCGGATCTTGTCCCGGTAGGTGCAGTTGCCGCGGGGGATGAGCGCGATCCAGGGCCGGCCGTGCGCGGGCGCGGCGAAGGCGGTGGCGGGGTCGCAGGCCAGGCGCTCGTGCGCCGCGCGCGCCATGACCACCTCCCCGCGGGCGTCGCGCTTGGGCGAGTGCTCGCCGTAGCGCCCGCACTCGGTGCGCTCCGAGCGCAGCTCCGCGCCGCCCGCCCCGGCCCCCGCCCCGGGTCCCGGCCCGGGCTCGGCGTAGGTGATGTTCACGAAGGCCGTGTACCACTCCTCCTTCTCGGCCACCGTGAAGTCCAGGCACAGCAGATGCACGAAACAAAAGGAAAGCAGCCATGTTGAGAGAGCCAGGCTGCGGCACGCCTGCACGAGAGACATGGCCACCTGTCTCCGCCGGCCGCCCTCGCCAGCCACGCGCGTCCGTCCGGCTCCGGAACCCCGTCCCCGCAATCCCGGGCCGGCCGGCCCCGCGCGCGGGCGCGGGCGCGGGGCTCCGCTCCACTCCCGCCGGGCCCGAGGGGCCGCCGCCGGGGACCCGACTCCCGGCGGGCGGACGGCGCCGGCCCGGTCCGCGTCCCCCGCCCCGCGCTCAGCGCTGGCGCGGCGGCTGCATCCCGCTCCCCGCGAGAGCCGGGGGCTGGGAGGCCGGGGGCGCCCCGTCCCGGGCGTGCGGAGCCCCGCGCCCGGCGGCCCCCGCTCTCATAGGGGAGGCGGCGTCCGGGAGCGGGCCCTCCGGCCGCGGTCGGCGGCTCGCAGTCCCCGGGTGCTGCCCAGGTTGCCCGGCCGCCGCCGCCTCCGCCTCCCGCCCGGGTTCCCGCGGCGGCCGGCGCTCCGGGCCTGGCGGAGCCGGGACACACTTGTGTCGGAGGGGACGGCGCTCGGGGAGCGAGAGGAGAGCGCGGCCCGCGGGCGTGCGTGTCGGTGTGTGTGAGTGTGCGCGCGCGCGAGCGTGTGCGAGGAGGAGCTTCGTGTGATGTCAAAGCTCCCGGGCTCCGCGCGCCGGGCGCCCCGCGCCTCGCGGGCCGCAGCGACCCCTGCCGGGCCTCGCGCGTATTCCCAACCTGTTGGGGGTGCAAAAGGAAAACGGCTCCTGGGGGACCCCAGGAGGACAACTTCCCGCGCCTTTCGACAGCGCACAATATCTCGGATTTGCTCCTGAAGGTTCCCGCCTCACGAGGGAAGGCGCGTCGGTTTGCTATTGCACGACGTGTCGGTTCAGGAGCACCATGCATCTCCACCCGTGCCACCCCCTCGCAGGCTGGTGGGTCCTTCCAGAGCCACTCCCGGGACACGGTTTAGGACCAAGCTTCAGGTGGACAACTGTGCCAGGGCAGTGTTGGAGCTGGTACCCCGTGCGCAGCGCCCCCAGCACCGCGCCCGGGTGCTGGGCTTAGTCACCCCAGCATGGCCTATGTCCCGGCAGGGAAGCCCGGCTTCCCTTCCACCCGCTTTTACATGCCAGTGCTAGGGCTTGAACTCCGGGCCTGGGTGCAAAGCTAGCTCTCTACCACTTAAGCCACAGCTCCACTTCTAGCTTTTTGGGTGGCTAACTGGAGATCAGAGTCTCATGGACTTTCTTGCCCGGGGTGGTCTTCGAACCCCTCCTATCCTCAGATCTCAGCTTCCTGAGGAGCTAGGCCTACTAGCGTGAGTGGCCGGCGCCTGGCTGCACTTGTTTTCTTATGCATGGTGTGTCTGACTCTGTAAGGCAAGACGCTGGGTGAGATCGTTTTCCACCGTTTGTTGTGGTCCCATGACCGCTTCTAGGGTGCACCGTGTCAATCCACAGGGGAGGTCTGTTTGGATTACTGTGTAAAGCCGGTTCTCCGGTTGTGCCCAGAGTTGCAGCGAGGACACAGTCACTCTCCAGCAGGGTTCTGGAATCTGGGACATGGCCTACGGTCCTTACAGATTGAACATGTAGCCTCCATGGCTTCCTTGACCTGAGATACCTGGAAAACAAAAATGCACCAGTGACTTTCAGACAGCCAGAGCATTCATAGTCATGATAATAAATCTTCCATTTCCGTGGGACCTTGCTAAGTAAGCGTGCAGTGCTCTGTTGCTGAGTGTCCACCAGCCATCTTCTTACAGACAGCAGTACAAACAGCCGGCAGCTAGGGGAAAGAGCCCAGCTGCACCCAGATTAGAACAGGCACAAGAACTACTTGGAAGAACCTATCTCTGCAGCATTGCGTGTGCTGGATTTGTATGTGTTCCTAGCTTATCAACTTTAGAAAATAGGCTTCTAGGCAATTGGGACAGTGCTTTTTATAGCCTAACGCCAAGGAGGCACAAGTGGCACTGCCAGGCTGCTGGTCCCCGAACCTCCAGGGTCTGAGGAAGGAAACTGCTGTCTGCAAAGCCTTGGGTAGATTCTGCTGACACACACTGTGGTTCCTTTCACCTCTTTATCTCTTAGCAACTTTTATCTAGCTCCAAGACTTGGGGAATGTCAGTTAAGAGTATATGACTTGCTGACATTTCATGCCTATAATCCTAGCTACTCAGAGGAAGCTAAGATCTGAGGATTATGGTTCAAAGCCAGCCTAGGCAGAAAGTGAGACTCTCATCTCCAATTAAACACCAGAAAATCTGGAAGTGGAGCTGTGACTCAAGTGATAGAGTGCTAGGCTTGAGCAAAACTGCTGAGGGACAGCACCCAAGCCCTGAGCCCTAAGATCAGTGTTCGTGTGCGCACGCGCATCGCACACACACACCCCCTCCCCCCAAAACAACACGTATATGATGCTGACTCTGACAGTCATAGGTTCAATGCACAGATTGAACTATGCAACTTGGGGGTAGAGATAGGATGGGGAAAGATGGGAGTGGAGGAAGGGGTGATATCGATCAAGACACATTGTACTCATAACCTGGCTTTGGGAATTGAAATCCCTTTGTACAACTATTTAGTGAAAACGAACTTATTTGTTTAAAAAGCGTGTGGTGACTGCCTCTTCCCTTTCCTCCCCTTGGAAAAAAATATTTTTAAATTGGGGCTGAGGTGATACAAGACTGGGAGGCAGCGTCATGCCTAAGAGACTGGTATTTCATAGGACTTTGGGACAAATAAGTACAATATTAAGTAAAATGGTAGCCACATTTTTTCTGTTGGAGGTGGTATTTATAAAGATGAAAAGAAAGTTATTTTAAGAAAACCCAAGGCATTGAATTAGATTAAAAGTGAGTATGAAATCCCATTTAAAAAAAAAAAAAAGCATGTAACATAGGATACACTGGATACACTTTCAAAACAGAAAAGAGAGACACCACCACAATCCCACCGAGAGCACTGGATACTGAATTGTGTGTCATAACCCATCCAGTGTCAGGGCTCAGACAGCATGGATTTAAATTTTCCATTCTTTCCAAAATTTGAAAGTGTGTCTCAACATTCTTTTCTAGGTTAAAAAAGACCTTAAGTTGCCAGGTGCTGGTAGCTCACATGTATAATCCTAGCTGCTCAGGAGGCTGAAATCTGAGGCTCTGCAGTTCAAAGCTAGCCTGAGCAGAAAAGGTCATGAGATTCTTAATCTTCAATAAACTAGTCAGAAAAAAAAGCCAGAAGTGGAGCTGTGGCTCAAGTGGTAGAGCACTAGCTTTAAGCACAAAGAGGCTTGGAGACAGCACCCAGGCCCTGGGTTCAACTCCCAGGACCAGCAAAAAAAATCTAAGTTCTCAGAATTCTTTTATAACCAAGATTCCATAATAACCTGTAAAAAATTACAAAAGTAAATAAGAAATATGAAAACTACATGTGCATGTGTGAGTGGCATGTGCATATATGTATATATATGCGTATATATGCTGTAATTCTCCCCTTCAGAGATGAGAAGTACAGAGTTTATCGAGTAGCCAGATTTCTATGTGCCATCTCTGTTAAAAGGAACCATGGCTGAGTCTAGGGCTAGACATGAGAAAGGATTCTGGAATCCTGGTACCGTTGTACTCAAAGCATGATGGGAAATGTCAAAATGACACAGGAGCGATGGCTCACATCCAAAGACAATTTCAGTATCAAAATAAGTAATGATAGTTACTGATTATATGAGAGATGAATCTGTACTAATATAAATAAGTGATGGAATAAATAAGTAGGGAAGAATTCTGATCATCCCTAGTGACAGAAATACCACCCAATAGGGGGGACAAGAGAAAGTCACCCTTGGAGAATTTATTGTTTTGTTCAGACAAGAGTCCTCAATGAAAAGTAAGGTGGGGGGAGGGGGTATTTGTTAAGCAAGATGTTAATCTCATCTTGAAATATCTTTTGAAAAATATGTATTGATTACAAGGGGGAAGATGGTGAACTTATTGCAGATACATGGAAGACACCAAGTTGACTGGTGATGGTGGTGAACATCACCATGCCACAGGGATGAGCAGGCCTTGTGTTTCTCAGAGAAATGCACGGATTTCACAGCACCACTTCCGTCACATCCCCGCTGGCCATACATGGCCTGAGCAGGCACACAAGGAAACCCCGTATAAATGCAAGGGCAGAGACAGCCTACAGGATGGAGGGTGTGTACTCTCTCCCAGTCTCAAGCCTGTAATAAACAAAGAGGGATAAAACCCACTGCTGCAAGTTGAAAAGACCCCAGAGACATGACAGCAAATGATCCTGAATATTGGCTCCTGGACTAGAAAGCAAAAGCAAACAGTTGGCAGATATCGAATGAGTTCTGTAGACTGTATGGCCTATCTTATCAGTGGTAATTTCCTTCTGTGGATGTTTGCACTGTAGTTTTGTGGAGGAATGTTCTTGTGTGGCTTGGTGAGTGATAGATGCATGCTGAAGTATTTACTAGAACTGAGATGACTCTGCAGCTTTTAAATGGATCAGGAAAAAGACTAATGACAAAAATCTTTGTGTCCATTGACCATAATCTCCAAGAATCCAGAATGCAGATGACAATTTTTTTAAATCAAAATTCACTTCTTGGGATGAAGGCATTAAAAAGTTTCTAACGTATTCTCCTCAAGCACAGCTAATTTTTCCAGTAATTTCATTAACCACTTGTTAGATCTCCCTATATATAATACCTGAGATAAACAATACTATATTTGTTCATTAAGCAATATTGAGCATTTTAATCCATTAGGCAGTATCCCAAGTACTGAGTGTACAGTCAAAAGCACAAGACCCTAGAAAACAAAGTCAAAGGGTAGAATGTGTAGCTTGAGCAGTCAAAGGTGCTGAGTTCAATATCCAGTAGTGCCAGAAGGAAAAAGAAGAAGTAAGAGGAGGAAGAAGAAGAGAAGGAAGAGGAGGAGGAAAAAGAGAAGGAAGAGGAGGAAGAGGAAGAACAAGAAGAAGAAAGCATCAGCATCTGGTAAGGTGAAGTTGTTATTCATTCATTTTCTAGGATGGAGCAGATTGCAAAGGGAATTTGTTCAAGTAAGAATCAAGAGGCTGGAGTGAGTTCAGCTCAACGTGCCTAGAGCTATCCAAAATGGTACTTGCTTTATTTTTGCCTCATCATACAGTCTTGGAAAGGAAATTGCTAGATCAATGCACGTGAAAAGAGTTTTCAAGTTATTGACACACTATGCAGGCTGCCAAATTGCTTTCTCAAAGGTTGGCCTTACCAGGCACCCAAGTGAAGTGAACTCTCTGAATCAGTGCTTGGAGCTTCTAGTGAAGACAGCTTACTGCTGAGTGCTGGAGTGTGGGGGAACTCTCTCCACCAACCACGCCACCCTGTCCTGACAGGATTAGAACATCTCCATGAAGCTCTTTGGTAGAAGGAGAGGATCTTATTTCCTGAAAGGTAGGGGCAGACTTGACTTGAATACAGCAATGGTTGTGTCTTAAGTGAGAAACAGGGAGAAAGAGAGATAGAGAGAGAGAGAGAGAGAGAGAGAGAGAGAGAGAGAGAGAGAGAGAAAGAGAGAATGTGTGTGTGTGTGTGTACACAAATGCATTAGTACAGGGCCTGGTGCTGTCCCTTTAACGTTTTGCTCCAGGTTGAAACTCTACCACTTGAGCTAACACCTTCACTTTTGGCTTTTGCTGGTTAATTGGGGCTAAGAGTCTCACAGACTTTTTTTCAGGCTGGCTTCAAACCCTGATTCTCAGATCTCAGCCTCCTGAGTAGCTAGGCATGAGTGACTGGTACTCAGCTTGACACTGTTTTTGTAATTTGTCATTCATGAGCCTATTATGGTCAAAGGGAATCTAACCTATTACAGAATCTGTATCCTTACAACCATGTTTTGATGGTTTTATAGGCATTTTATGTATAAGAGAATCAACATAAGTCATTCATCATTTTAGATCTCCCATTCTGAATTGAGTAATTCGTGGAATTGTGGAATTGTGCTGAGATCTTAGTATCTCAGTTTGAAGCTAGCCTGGGCAAGAAAGTCTGCAAGACTTTCAACTAACTAATCTTCAACTAACCAGCACAACTAACCACACAAAGTGTGGCTGTAGTGGTACAGCACCAGCCTTGAAAAAAATAAAACGAAAGCCAAACAATCACAATGCCTTGAGTTCAAGCCTCACTACTTGCCACACACACACACACACACACACACACACACACACACACACACACACACACAATGATGCTTGTTCGGTTCTTCAGCAGGATTCTGATATGCTAAATAACGAACTCCATGACTGAGTATGGAAGATACCTTTCAAAACATGCTTATAAGGTATTCACATACCTTATGAGTAAACGCTGGTGTTATTATTTAAAAACTATATCCTGCACAAGAACATACCCCAGGAAGTGGCACAGTGGCTCATGTGGTAGAGCACTAGCCTTGAGCTGAAGAGCTGAGGGACAGCGTTTGGGCACATAGTAGAAGAAGAAGAAGGAGAAGAAGGAGAAGGAGAAGGAGAAAGAGAAGGAGAAGGAGAAGGAGAAGGAGAAGAAGAAGAAGAAGAAGAAGAAACCCCTGTGTTGACATACCCCAGTGTTGAGACTTCCTGAAGCCTGTCTCCTACATTTTTTCCTTTTACTGCAAAGGGAGGACATGCTCCCACCACACCAGCAAGGCTGAGGATCTCAGCTCTGCTGTTTTCCCTGGGCTGAACCATAGTTTCCTGGGAGAAATCTCTTCCTCACACTAGTGAGAGATTCTAAAAGACAGCATGTGGCTGGGCATGTATGGAAGTGAGAGAGACTTCAGGAAGGGTCAAGCAGGACAAGAGGAGTGGGAAGGAAGAGAATCTTAACATTTTTAATGTCTGAAAGCATTTCAAGAAAGTCATTTGTGAATACAGGTTATTCTTTATTTACACTGGGTTTGGGTTCCAACAAGCCCACAGAAAAGATCATTGAATTGAAAATGCATTTGATGTGCCCAGAGTTTAGCAGCCCCGTCCTCGGTGGAGGTTTGGTGACTCCCACTCCTGATGCAGTCATGATGACCACTGCTTTCTAACACCATAGGATTACTGTACTGCACATGCTACTCAGCAAAGCTCAATTTAGCGCTGTCCAGGTTCTACTCAGTGCATATTGCTTTTAACCACTGTAAAGCCAAAAAGTTACAAGTCATAAATAGTACTACTTGAGTAAGGTTGCTTTCTCTGTGTTAGGCTTTCCATTGTCTGCTCAGAAAAATAAGATAGGAGTTGTGCCACGAAGGACTTAGCATCTAGTTTTAAAGAATAGCAAGAGGAAGGATGGATGAATAGTCATAATATTTAATGTGCAGATATGAAAATAGAACCAGGTAACTTGAGGGGATGGAGGAGGTTGGGAGAGATGGGGAAGACCCATGGAAGGGGTGGGTGCTGTTGATAAGGATGTATTATATTCATAAGTGGACATGTTGAATTGAAACCCTCTGTACAGCAATTTAAAGATAATTTTAAAAAATTAAAGAATTTAACAACAGATGTGTTCATCTAAGGGAATTTTGAATGTACATAAGTGTGGTAATTTAAAAAACTGCCATATAAGAATTAACTAATAAGCAATAATTCTACATAGAAGTAAATGTATAGACATATATATGTCTTATTTCGTTCTCAGGGTGACTTTATGAGGTGGGCATCCTTACTCCTAGTACACAAATCAGGAAACATGAATTTCAGGGAGGGAAGGAGGAACTTGCCTGAAGTCTGGCGGCTAGTAAGTCGGACTCCAGGCTCTGGTGTGAAGGACCTGGCCTTGCTTTGGCTTTCTCTCCATCTTTTCCTTTAACTCGATTCTGATTTGGATTCTCACTTCTTTTGCTTCTGGCTAGTTCCTCTCTTGACTTCGGCTCTGGACCGTCCCTCATGGTCTCCTTTGGTTGCTATGCAGGGTGGACTACTTTGCTTCTCAGAAGCCGTGGGCTTTATAAGGAGAATGTAGGCCCTTTGCGACTCCAAGTAAACCTTCAAACATCTGCTGGAAATAAGGCAAATGGAAATGGAAGGCTATGGAGATTTTTTTTTGGAGAAAATGCATGCAACTGATGATATGGGTTTCTTGGGTCTTTGTTCTTCTAAATTTGTAAAATTTTGAAACAGTGGGCTAAGGTTCTAAAAATGACTTTCTTGCTCTCTCTTTTTCTCTCTGCTCCTCTGAATTATCAAATGGCTTCTTCCCTCAATCTTTGATACAATTTTGACATTTAATTTGGGCTTCTTTGCTTTTCTCATTAACCTAGACAATGTTACGTTATAAAAACATGTTTAAGGGGCTAGATATGGGACATTCTCTTAGACAAAGGGATGTGAGAGTTGAGCCAAGACCAGTAGAAAGCTCTTCACCATAATGCATCTGCTTGCTTGTTTGTTTGCTTGCTTGCTTGCTCTCTCTTTCTTCCTTATTTTTTCATAGTTGTTCACTTTTTATTGTTTCAGATCATTTTTTGAGTGAGTTTTCTTTTCCTATTCTTCTTAAGATCATCTTGTCTCTTTCACCAGAAGCTGGGATGGGGGACGATGCAGCGATAAATCAAGGCACTCAAAGTATTCCACACTGAGCAATGGTGACAGCTGTTCGGCACAAGCATCTTCGAATTATACAGTGTCAAACTTACCAGAGGAGAGGGTGGGCCCCTGTTCTCTCCAGTGCTTCCCACCTGGGCCTTCTAAAGGATGTTTTCATCACCATTTCCCTCTCACTACACACCTATTCCCACCGGGCTGGTAACCAGACCTAGAGGCAATGGAGAGACACGGCATGAGGATTGAAAAGCGCAGGTGTCTGACTTTTAATCCGGCCCTGTGCCTAATTTGCTATTTAGGTCAAGACTGCAGCGTGACTAATCTCTCATTTTGGCATGCTGTACTATGGGTATTAATTCCTAAACATCTACTGAGCCACAATCACAGAGCCAGTCACAAGACTAGAGCATTAATATGTTTCCATGGCCTGACTCTCTCTCTCTCTACATAATAAGGTCACCGGAAAGGAACAACACTTGTTTAGTATGTCTCACAAGCCAGAACCGATGTTACAATTAGTAAAAAGGCGAGGCCAGACCCTCCTGGTATAGTTTCTATTCTGAAAAATAGAGGCCCTGAAATGTATGCTGTCCTTCGCACTCTAACTCCTGTGCACACGCTTCCACACTTGCTTTTCTTTGCACCGTGACCGTCATTGTTGTGGCATGACCAAAACTAAGGACAGTTTCCTTCATCTATTATGACTTGGGCTGATTCCCATAGGAATTCCAGAAAAGGATCTGGAAAGCATATTTGGAATTTCTTTTGGAGAGACTAGTCTCCTAACACCATTCCCATAAGAACAAGGTTATGAGCAACATACTCTGGCCAACCAACTCACTCAGCTCCCCCTTGAAGACCACTGGGGGAACAGAAGTGGGGGGCAGCTCCTCTGAATCATAGCGTAGAAGTGGCACTACTGAGGATTGATTTGACTTGACATTTGTGATATAAACTTACCAGTGACATCTCCCGAAAATCCTCTTGGATTTCTCTGGCAGTTACTCACACCCTTGGGGGTATTCACGCCTCTTGTGAGCGCTTCCTAGTACTGCTGCTTTGCTTACAATAGCGTGTCACTTTTTATTTAGCAAAGAAAGCCTTAGCTGAGAGGTGGCTCACACCTGTAATCCTTGCTACTTAGGAGGCTGAGATCTGAAATCATGGTTTGAAGCCAGCAGAGGCAGAAAGATTCCCATGAGACTCATCTCCAATTAACCACTAAAAACTGAAAGTGGAGCTGTGGCCCAAAGTGATAGAGCACTAGCCTTGAGCAAAAGAGCTCAGGGACAGCACCCAGACCCTGAGTTCAAGCCAAAAAAAAAGGCATGAGGATCAAAATCCCTGTTTTTCTAACAGTTGACATTAAAAATCAGTCTATTTCCACCCAATGTATTCTTCTTTATTCTTTAGGGAAAATATCTCCCAGCCTAGAGAGGCCAACACTCCCATCTTAAGCTTCTTAAGCTCTCTTGCATCAGACATCACTTCTAACTGGAATATTTCTCAACAACACACAAACCTGTTCTGCAAATACCAAAAGCCATTTCTTGGCCCTGCCGCTGCTACCTTGTTTCTTCTCCATTTTTGCAGTTAGACTTTTCAAAAGTGTTGAGTATCATCATAGACATTCTATGCTCCCCACTCCCAACTTGTGCTGGCTTCTACTCTGCTATGGCTTGGATGTATTCCCCTCCCCATGTTTTCTGATTACTCTCTACATTCATGTTAATAATAGTTGATGTTGGACCTTTGAGAAGCAATTAGGGTAAGATGAGGTTGCGTGGAAGGGTCTTCCCCCAGCATTGGTGCTTTCATAAGGAGAGGAGACCCAAACTAGCACACATGCTGTGTCTTTTGATGTGGTGCCCTTTGCCATGTAATCATGCAGTAAGAAGGCCTTCACCACAGGCAAGCAGGTGCTAGGACTGTGCGCTCAGACTTTCTAGGCTCCAAACTCATGCTCCAAACAAACTTCTGTTCTTTCAAAACTACCCCATGTCGGGCATTTTCTTATAGCACCAGTAAACAGAGAGAGCCATGTCCAGATTATTCTATTGAGATTCCTCTGGCAAACAGTGATTATTGCCAAATTGCCTCTCCTTATAAATCCTCAAAGCAGCATTCACTTCTGCTGGATTCTTTTCTCTTGATTTCCTCAAAACTACTTTATTTTGACTCTTCAGTCTAGCATGTAAATGTCGGCGTACCTTAGGGCTCTGTACTTAGGGTTGCTAGGGACCCTTTTTGAGCTTTTGTATCCTTTTTTAGGTGATCTCAGTGTTAGTTATCTATCTCACCTGTAGGTTGATGACTTCTGAATTTTTTTTTTGCCAAGCCACCCCTCCCCTACTTATCTGGTTGCCGAATTTGCATATTAATATTGATGACATACGTGCATCACAAACTTAACATGTCACATGCTGGACTTTCTTTCCATGTCAATCTTTATAGTAGAGTAAATGGAGCCATAGCCATATAGGTTCTCAAGTTAGGAGCTCCTCTTAACTCTGTCCTGTCTTTACCAGTTCTTGTTTTCCCCCTAGCGAATCCATCCTTTAGTTCTACTAATTTGACTTTCACAATAAATCTCAAACCAGCCTTCCTCTTCGTTGCTCCGTTCTGCCTTGGTCTGGTCCATCAGGACTCCCTGAGAAGGAAGACAGCAGCCTCATAACAGGACTGCACAAGGGTTTTCCTGTCCACGAGTCTCCACATAGCAATTACAATGAGCTTCTTAAAAATATAAACCCTCTGGGCTGGGAAGGTGGCTCAGTGGTAGAGCGCTTGCCTTGCATGCATGAGGCCCTGGGTTCGATTCCTCAGCACCACATAAGCAAAAAGAAAAAAAAAGCAGGAAGTGGTGCTGTGGCTCAAGTGGTAGAGCGCTAGCCTTGAGCTGAAGAGCTGAGGGACAGCACCCAGGCCCAGAGTTCAGGCCCCACGACCAGACCCAAAAAATATATATATATAAACCCTCAACCCCTTTAAGTGAGTCTATGCAAGACCTAATTTTCTGGTGCCTACCAGTCTTTATGCTCCTAAAAGCACTAATGCACCTCCAATAGTGAATGGATCTCATCAGTTACAAAATCTGACTGGTTCTAGATCACAATACAACTCAGGTCATTTAAGACAGTTACTTCGCATTTGTCTTGTACTCATTCCAGAAATACAATTAACATAGGCTGACAAAATGGTGCTTAATAGAAAATAGGCCAATAAAAAGTCTGAGAAGAGAAAATGTAATTAATTGAAAGGAATAGGAAGAAAAAGATGACTAGTAAAAGAATGTATTAATTACTGTTCTTGAGTGTTGGGTTTAGTCAGAATTTCCTAATTAGGCATAAAATAAAACATTGATTTAAGTAGTGTTTTTTGGTTAGTTTAACAAAACAATGAAGATAAATTTACTCTTTAATATATATGATTTCCGTTTTAAAGGTTTCACTATACTTACAACACTTGTCGTTACTGTTGTGGAATAATAAGCAATGCCTCTATGCTTTTGCAACAAGCACAATCACCTTCCAATAGGCATTTCTACACAGGCCTTTTATACAATTCAAAGGAGATAATGTTATAGTGATATTTCTGTGGCCAGTACAATGGGGCAACAATAAGAGTAGTTATAAGATAGACTACATACCACTTGTGAAAAATACATAAGAGAACGACCTCTTGAGCAAGTGTTCAGTAAATATTAGCTGTTACTGCTACCACACACTGTCACTTCTACAAATATATCTACTTCCCACACATTAAACAAGGACCTGAAAAGTGAAATGATGTAGAGTGGGAACTACTTCTCTGCTATTAAAGCAAATAGTTGGCAAGGACCTGCTGCTAGATTCCAGTCAGAGGAAATATATATATGTTTATAAATCATGTTAATGCAAGTTCTGTGCATCTTTCTCTGTCTTGCAATAGGTGAGATCTAGAGACTCTTTAAAACTATGAAGTGAGATACAGGCATCTGTTACCAGACCAAGAGCACACACAGTCTGGGTACTTTTCAGATGTAGTCCCTTCACCCTCAATTCTCACCTGACAGCCTCATATTCACTGGTGGTGATATTGTAGTGGGAAAGATGTGACTTTTACCTTAGGACCAGATCTTAAGATTTAGCATACATGAGCATTCCTACCCCTGCCTGTGTGTTAAAATCATCCATGAGAGGGGTTGTTTTGTTTTTTGGTTTTTCTTGTGTCGTAGCTACCAAGATCTGGATTCCATTGGCCAGGATAGGATTCAACACATGTCATTGTAAAAGCAACTCTGGAACTTCTAACATGTGGCTAGAATGAGAATCATATGGCTAATTTGTTTAAAAGTGAAAAAAGT